AATATATCACCAATACACAAGTACAATATTTAAAATCTTAATGATTTACTTGAACGACGGGGGTTTTAAAGCTGGTTGTTTCAGTTCCTTTAAGATACTTTAAGTATCACCAGACATTATAAACCAGCTTTATCAAACTAAAAACAAAGGTCATTGTGGTACCCATTCATTAACACAGTTGTATTTAAGTATGTTGATTTTAAGATTAAAATCACAGATGTATCAGTACACAGAAAGCAAAGAATTATGTGAATTGTTTTATTGATTAAATGATTGCAATATGACTGGACTAAGAGCAGCTCTATTTACAGTATTCAAATAAAGACAATATAAAAAGATTGATACATTTGACGCATCATCCAAAAACCAAATTTAACTCCATATTCAATTAATATCAACAAAAATCGAGCATGGTCTTTTCATGACTGCACATGAGTAGAGCAGAGGTCAAAAAGCAAAAGATAATTGCAACATTCGTGTGTTTTGGTGGGGGTTGTTTCTGTTTGTATAAATCCAATGAAGAAATCGTGAAACAGACTGGAGATTATAACACCATTTAATCGGCCGAGGTCAGACAACTTCATCAAACAAGCACGCTTCCAAATCACTTGACTGACAAAGTGCTGACAAAGTAACAGTGCTGCTTATATTCTGTCAAAAAGGTGCAACCCACAAATTCCTTTCTATTTGGGTGCATCACCATAAAACAATAAAGATGACATGACACTGATTTGTATACGTATCAGATGTAGACTCTCTGTCTAACAAACAGTTGCTGACAACATATAGTTGGCTCCTCTGCATATATAGATCTGCTACTACTTAGGTGCTTCGCTCATATAAGGTTACAGCTTCAGACACCTAAAGGTAGGAGTGTTAACACGTGGTAGACAGACTTGAATAATACATTTCACGAAGTTACCAAGATTAATGAATTTCATGAAAATTCGTACTAACAGTGTGGAAGTTAATTTTGCTAAACTATTCTATATACAGTATACAGACATTTTAATAACCTGATATATAGCATTTTAACTCAATATCAGTAGCTCCTTGGTCAAAAATCAACTTACATTTTTTAAATACCATTGTATTGTTCACCCCCATGGATGTACAAAATGAAGCATACACTACATACATGTTGGCCCATTCATTTCAGTAAAACAGATCCCCAAGTACATACATCATGAACATGTAACTGTAAATACGTACCTTATTTTTCCTGTGCTCACAATGAAAAGCCTACACTGCTTTTCAGCAGATGACTGACTTCAAGTTCAATGGAATCAAAAACGAGCTTTGTTTGAAGTCCGGGCATGCTCAGAAGTAGTTTTTATGCATAGTTAAATTTGAACCATTCATGGCCATGATTTTTAATTCTTCCATCATTCATCTAGGCGCTATTTTGGTCTGCTTACTCCAAAAGTCAAGCTGATCCGGGACGTTACCCCCCTCCATTAAATTCTCGCTGCTTTTCATGGATCAAGTCTCATTAAAATGTTTGGTTTCAGTAAATTTGCTCTTTGTTTTTATGTTCAGCAGGACCTTCAACAATTTGCCCATTAAAGTCTGTTCTTAATTCTAAGGGAGAGCTACTGCAGATGTGAGGGGGGAATTGTAAAAACCCTTTTTCTGTATCCAGATGGAGGTTTATGCGGTGATGTTACTTAGTTCAGTGATGACAAAAATCTGTGAATGTGGAGCTGGAAGAAAATAAGATCAGTAGAGCTCTGAAGCATGCTCCTCATCTCTCTGCATCAGTCATTAACAAAAAATGAGGAAACTCCGAAGAAATGTTGGTGGTTGTGTTGTATTGGGATGTATGAAGGCATGGAGGCCTTCAATCATTTACAAATTCCTATACTGATGTCAAACCATTTTTCAACCAAGGCTTTCATCTTTCTCTCAGGGTGCCAGTGACAAAGGTGCCTATTGCTCATCAATGCTGGAGCATTTGACCAGTCATTGCAAGGGCACAAATGGTTATGAAACATCTCCAGTAGTCAAATACATCTGCTTTGTCCATTGCCGGCCAGCTCTTCTTTCATTGCTTTTAGTTCTGGCAGCCAGAAGGACTCTAATGCAGAGAACACGTGGATTGGTGCAGTTCATTGATGTATTGTAAACAAATAACCTACTGGTAGGTACATAGTGAAGGAAGGTGGCCCAATTGTGGAAGAAAAACATAAAGAAACAAGCAATACTATGGGTAAAGGAAGGAAAACACTGTGAAACAGCAAGGTAACTAGTATAAACTCATTAAAGAAAAAAAATAAATGGATTGGTGTATAGAGAGTGGTTAATGAGGCAGTGAGGCACAATTGTTGGGATAGGGGAAAAGTTTAGGTGGAGACAATGAGGCTCTTACAGGGCAGATGGGATTGGCAGGATCTAGATGTCATCAGAAAAGTCTGAGAGCATCTGGTGGACAGGTAAGGAATAGCACCAAAAGGGCCATGGAAAGTGAGGATGTGGCACAAAACGGGAATAGAGTAGTTTTAGAGTAGTAGAATTAAGTAGTCATTGCAAATTAAAAGCCAACCATCTGAAGAAAAGAATGACTGGAAAGATTAAGAAGTAGTGAAAGATAAAAATGGAAACACATGAAGAGAAGGTCTTCCATGTACCAGTTTCAGGACACAAATATTTTGTGGTGGAAAATAAGGTTGACAAAGACTCCATTTCATGACTGTTGGGTGGGAAACTAAAAATCAATAGCACCAGTTTATAAACTATGCCTTGTCTGCAGATGTTAATCCTGCTCATTTTATGTGAAACACCAAGTCCTTTCAGACAATCCAAGTAAAAGTTTACTTTTTTAACACAAATTATAGGGTATTGGATTTGTAGCCAGGAATTTTCTCAGTCAGTTTAAAAGATACAGCCACCGGCTGTGTAGGTATTAATGACCCTAACCAAGTAATAACTACAACATTTTTTGATTGCTGACAGTTGTTTTGCTGTGGCCAACATTTGAGAAGGATTTGCTCTTTGACATAATTAAGAAAATGCCTTTGAGGAAGTGAAACAAGCATTCCAGGAAGAAAGAGGAACGTTCATGGAAAAGCGACCACATTCTCAACTTCAAAACTAATTAAAACTTCTTTAAAAAGAACATCTCAAAGAGTTCAGGAGGGAAAGGGGAATGAGACAAACCGTGTGTTGAAACCAACGGCACTTGTGAGGTTTACCACATGTGGTTTATTAAAAAAGCATATGAACATTACTCATAGTCTTACACTGGACAACATAGTTTCACATGTGACTGTATCCAACTTTAGAGAGGTCATACAAATGCTGGGGGTGAAAAACAAGGTTAAACAAGGTCATATGGATATCAAGACATTGATTTTACAAAGCAATATAACGTTTATGGTTGACTTAATTTAGTTACATTTTAGAGTGTACACAACATGTTGTTCAGCAGAATTCTCCAGCAGCAGCGGTCACAGGAAGAAAGCCAACAGGGTTAAGAAAAGTGCAAAAATTCAATTTCTATTGATCTGTCTTTACTAACCCTTTTGGAGAACTTTCAAAGAATACAGTCAATTGTGGAAGCATCAACCATTTATTATCTATACTAATCAATTAAATCTATTCTTAAATTATTGCTTGTCTGTGTTTTCTGAACTGAATTTGTAGCAGTTGTGTCATATAATTGCATGGCTGCAATACTTACAACATCTGATGTGGATGATCTTTTATGCATTTCTGGCCCTTTAACTGCATTTTGTGGTGTAAATCGAGCATGTTGGTTAATGTAGCACAGTGAAGGCTTTTTCTATTTCCGTCCATATGGAAGGATTTCAAGCCTCTAATCCAGAAAATTTCTGGCTAAGTGTTATTGTTGCTGTACATGAACAACATTTGGAGGCTTTGAATGTGCAGTTATTGCAGAATGGCACCCCCTGCTGACTGTGCTACTCCTCATGACAAAATACTGCAGTGAAACCAAGAATAATAAATATTCTCTATGGGACTTTATTGACAAATGTTAGATTCAGCTAAGTTTGCATTTTTAGGGGAAAATCTTATACAAACATCTTGAATGGTCAAATAACTGCATTTAATTAAAAGAATAATAGACTACAAGTTGTATCATTATTATTATTGGTTTAATTGTTGCAATCAAGCTCAAGCATTTGCAATTAAGATCAAATTTACTGTCTTGTTTTAGAATAATGTGTTCACATCCTTGTGCAAGTTAGATGTCAGGAGTCTTCTCAAGACTGTCTTTCTCTCTGTAGCACACTGCAGAGCCGGGACCATTTATGGGACATATTCTCACATGCCTTTTGCCTCCCCAAACTATAATATACAATGCTTATAACCACTGCCCTGCTTTCCACTTGTCAGAAATCAGCACAAAATCTGAAATCACTAGGAAAAAATAAGATAGATGAATACTTTCAAATCTATAAAAAAATAAAGTAACACGAATGAACAATAAAACGAAACTATCGCATGTTGGCATCAGTGTCAGTCCTTTAATACAACAGTTTTCAGAAAGAGAAAACCTGTTTGCGCGTATACTGGAATGCATTAAGAGCAAATTACCTCTGGGGGTAATACGCAGCATTGCCTTTTCAAAGAAGAGGTTTGGAGTTGAGCTCTGACAGTGCGCGCTGTCCTTTCAGCACCAACGTTTACGCACAGTCACCGCGCTGCCTTTGCAATGAAAACACGAAAACATAGAAAGGGGATATAAAGTGGTAAGGACATTTAGGTGAGACATAAGAGCGCTTCACCCGCTAATGTGTTGTTTTAACAAAGTTTGAAGTCGTATTTTGAGTTGTAACTTTAATGAGACTATTTTTCTAAACTTGTGGCGCTGCAGTCTTTTTTTCTTTCATAATTCTGCAGCATGATGTTCTTTTTTTCCCCTCTGTGTTTTTCACAGTAAACTGCTCCAGCCTCACTGATCAGTCAGATTTGAGGGGGGGGGGAGCATGGGAGCCAATTACACACTCTGACTTTAAGAATGCTGTAGCAGCAACAGTAGGCTAGAAAAACTAATCTCTAGTGACGACAAAACCTTCTGTAGCCTCGACTGTGCTGTCTGTAGTCTGTTATTTGACCACAAACTAAAGTGCATTAACTTTACAAACTGTGAGTCATTAATTAACAGTCGACCCCAAACGGTGCGATCGTATTTCGACTCCCATGATGGATGTAAAATGCGCAGTGGCTCTGAATGACCTCTTGAGAATCTTAAGAAGGATACTGGAGTATTTGTACTAGGATGCCGGTATCTGCGCTCTTTACCGGGCTTATTGGGAATTTCAGTGGAAGTGCTAGTGGGGGAAACGCTTCCTGTAACTGCGTACATAGATACATGGAGTAACGGAAAGGAGGGGGCGCAGACAACTTAAAACGGCGTTCAAGTGATGGTCAGTTAAGTTCAGTGGACTTTCCGCCTCAGGGGTGCTAATAGTGTGTTCTATTATCATCCCAGGCACGGCGGAGTAACCCACGAGGGACAGATGACCGCGTCCGCCAGACAGAATAAAAAGTGAGCTTCACTTCAAGGCGACTTATCTGAGACTTCAGCGAGGACGCACACGGGACCTGAGGCACACACTCTGACTACTTTCGGTCGGTGTTCGGAGGATGACGCTCAGAAAACACCATCCTTTCTTCTGAAGCTTTGATGGTTCCTACATTTTAAGGGACAAAAAGTTCACACGGTTCTTTTTTTTTTTTCTTCTGCTTTCATTTTCATCATTGTTGGACGCACGGGAACGGGACCTGATCATACAGCAGCCCATTGGGGGTGGGGGGGAAAGCTACACGGACCTACAGGTAATTATTCATCCCCCCCCCCGTTACTCATTCTTCCGTGTGAAAAACTCCCCCCTCCCCCCCCCCACTACTAATGTCTAGCATCCTTGCACTGGTGATAGGCTATTATGTGATTCACTCTCAACTGTCTTTTTCCCTCCTCTGCCATGTCCTGCATACAAGGCTAAAGTCACAAAAGTAACTGGTCATACTGCCTATTGCAGGGGTGTCCAACAGGTAGCTCTCAGGAGCTACCAGTAGCTCGCCTATAGGTTGACTGACTGTGTTAAAAATACAATTTTTAAAAAATAAAAAATTTGACGACGGTAAATGCACCTCTTCCCCACTATTCATATATTTGGCCCATCAAAACAAGTATGACGTACTAATGTTTTCTTGGACATTGATGTGAAATTAAGATTATTGATAAGCATTGGCTTATTGCAATTTCACACGTCTACAAACAGTGGCTTAATTCAGCTGAGTTATGTCAATAAATGCAAGCGATGTGATGCAAGTAGCCCTCGGCCACTTAAATTTTTTTGAAAGTAGCTCTCAGATGAAAAAAAAAAGAAGGTTGGAGACCCCTGGCCTATGGGCTGCAGTTGTAGCGTACTTATAATTTAAAAAATGGCTTAAACAGGGATAAACCTGACCCTTTCATTTAAAGAATGTGTGGGAATCTGGCTAAATTATAATATGGATTATCTAGGCTATAATGCGGGATGTGTGACAGGAAAAGTGAGTTCAGAGAATGAACAACTTCAAAGTTGTTGCACAAAAGGGCGAAATTTCTGGATCTATGTGCATATTTAGACTACACTAGTTTTTTTTTTTTTAAATAAGATGATTGATATTGAACAGCCTTGTGGCCAACATTTCTGTCACCAAGTAAAATAAATGTTTGTTTGTTTTTTAACATGTTATGGCTGACTGATAAACATTAAAAAATGAAAGGAACACATATGACTTCTATTTTCGACTTCTCTTGCAGGTGACCGGTTGTTGGAGAAAGACTTCCCTTATTTTCACACTGTGTGGGAGCTATGAGCGGCCTGCGCAGGCACTTCAGCATGGGACTAGTGCTACTGATGTGCACGCTGAGCGAACACTGCAGCGAGAGCGCGCCCTCGGTGGCCCCGTCGGTGTCGACGGCAGCCGGCAAGGACACACGGCGGGATACGAGGCGGATAGTGGAGATCGTGAAACACGTGGAGGAGAGCCGTGGTCGACTTGGCAAAACGGAAGCAGCGTTAACATCAAGTGCGAGGAATTCCACGGAGTCAAAGGATTTACACAGCTTGAAAACTCACAGAGCGGATCAGGTTGTCGGTGAGTGATGGATGGCCTATCGCCTGGTGCTGGGCGTGACCCTTATGTTGCACCTCAAGAGAATACTGTTGTCTTCTGGGATATCCATTCAAAGTTCAAAGTGATTGTGGAGCGATGGATCGAGCGTCGGATGAAATTAAAGGGTCGCTGCGTTCAAAATGTACCCTAAAACATTTCCTGATAGTGTAGGTGTCTTAGCCATGCACAGACTTGTTTGAAGGTAACAACATCTGATTTTTTTATGTTTAAAAATCTGTCATAACTCATTCAAACGTCTCTGTATGGCAGGATACGCATGGGCAAATAAGAAATATGTTTGTCTTAGTTTTTATTTTTGCTACTGTTTAGGTGTACAAACCCTCAAGTTCTTTCCTAAGAATATGCGACTTTAATGAAACTGCTAATACCAGAGTTTTTAAATGGAGGCTTTAGGTTATTATTTCAAAAGGTTAACCTGACATCCTTCTTTCTCTCCTCAGTTGTTTACCCCAGAGATCTCAGGAAAAAGGAGAGTATGATAAAACATATGACAGGTATGTTTCAATGCAGACGTCTGTCAATAGTTCAAACAAAGAACAAATTCAATTTGAACGATATCCTTGCACAGAAAAACAGATTAAAGAAGTGCACTTGCCTACATGCAGTGCATGAAATATTCTCACAGCATCCTTTCTTGTCCCTCAGGTCCGCTTTATTTCAGTCCAAAGTGCAGGAAGCACGTGTACCGGCTCTACCACCACACCAGAGACTGCACCATACCTGCATGTAAGCAATTCCTCTATTTGTAAGGACTCTTCTTTTTGTCAATCCAATGTCAACTACTCTCAACTCATTAGTTCCATCTTCTTATTTTCAGACTTCAGAAGATGTGCACGGCTCCTCACAAGACTTGCCGGGAGCCCGCAGTGCACTGAGGGGTTGCTCACACAAGGTACTTAATATATTCAGCTCTTATTGAAACACACATGCAATATGAAGGTCTTAGAGAAAATGTGCGTACACAGGATATAGGGTTAAAGTGCTGGTGTTTTGCACTTTTGTAAAATAATGGTCATAGAATCTTAAAAGGAAAGAATATTTCAAAAACAGATTTTCACAGGAAATTATTTAAATGTAATGATTTTTTTTTAACAAGGTGTCACTGTCCAAGGCAGTATACTTCCAGATATTAATATTAACTGAAGTCAAAGTATTTTAGAAAAATGGACACTTTCATGGTGATGCTACTAAATGTTTCTATCAATATTTCACATAACTTAATTTGTTAAAATTAAATCTGAAAGCTGATTGATTTGGAGATATTTAATCTACAGTCTTGTGTGTGTTGTGGTTTATAGATTCATCATTGATCTCTGAATTAAAATTCAACTGGTAAAGCAACATGTGATCATAGTGTTGGTCAAACATAAATAGAATGGTGTCGATATAAATTAGCATAGAAGTGTAATAATCAAGTTAAGAACAAGTACCTCAAATATATAACTTGTTACAGTAGTTCTCCGTGAGATGGCACATGTCACATATTATACTTCCACAATTCAGAAGTTCAGAGGGAAGTATTGCAATTTCTGCTTCCAGTTTACAATTTCCCACAGTAAACATTAATATATGACAATTATGCTTTTTTCTCTTGATACAATAAACCACCCAGAAGTATAGAATTACCTTGATCAGCTACATTAAGGCTAAATCATACAGTAACATGCTGTCTATACAAATAATATTTTAGTGATATTATCCACAATAAAATTACCAGGAAGTGGCCACTCCACATCTTCAGTACATTTGTGTGTTTGTTTCTAAGTGCAAAGCATACAGAGAGTGAAAGCTTAAACCAGGATCGAGGTATTCACAGTGTAAAGTTCATGTTTTCAAGACACTGAGACACATTTTCACAGTGGTGATATGCTGTGCAGAAACACCCTGGCCCCTAGCAGTGGCTCACCACGAGCACCAGATCCATAGCAAATCAAGTGTCTTGATTCTTACTTTGCGTCATTATGTTTGTAAATGAAATAATTTGTCTGGTGATGCCAATTTGAAGTCTGTACCAAGTTTCTCTTTCTCCTTTTTTTCAATGCAGGTTGAAGCCTAACACAAGTTCTCTAGAAGAAAATAACTTGGGTAAAAAAATGCCTTTGACAGTAAGAGGGAGACTCTGGGACACACTGAGTGGCCCCAACCGAGGACAGGCACAATTTTGCCCTTCAGTAAGGTCTGTTCTGCTGAGGCATGGATTACTGCCATCCCCCTGTTCTGGCTGGTTCCTGATGGTCAGCTTTCACAAGAAAGAAGAACCAGATCAAGAAAAAGACGGCAGAAATTAAGAGTGGAGAAGAACTAACTGACTGACAGCGACACACAAGGAGGCATTTCCCCTGCTGCTATCCAAAAAGTAAAAGAAAAGGGATTGCATATTTTCATTTTGTTCATTTCTTTAAGAAAATAGCAAAATCCAAATGTAGCTACTGTTTTTAGCATGACAAGGAGGCCCAACCCTTCTTCTGCACTACTCATAACGCAGACAAAAAGCTGTCACAGACCCCCCTGGCTGGCAGTCACAGCGTAGTTTTATTCACTAGTGCTCACACTGAAAAAGAACTGTGTTTCCATTATTGATAACATGAACATATCTCTGTGCCTTTGCAGAGACATGTTCAAAAAGAAGTAGTGGTTGCGAGTCACAGCCCTCCTGTAGATGAAGTGCGTGGTACAGTCTATATTTATATATTTGAGTTGTCACAAACGTTCCACTGTTACTGTACATAATAAATGCCATGACCACATTAAACAAGAGAAATATGTACATGTGTACTGTAAAGCAAAGCTTAAGAGGAATCTAGCTGTCTACCTTAAATTAAAGCAACCGACATGTATCAAATGGCTGGTAAATACATATATATATATAAATATATGAAAATGAAATATATTTAAATAAATTATAAGATTGGTACAAATATGAGTGGTCTTTTTTGTCTCGTGCTGAATTTCCTCTTACATTCCTGGATTCAAATGTGGAGTCCTCCATGACTAAGCACATGAATGACAGAGCTCTTGAGCAACAGCTTTCAAAGTGTTGAATGGGAGCAGCAGTGACAGAGTGAAGTGGGGTTTTTTTGGAAATAAACTTGAGGGTAAAATCTAATTTATGTAAACAATTAACAAATTGTGGGTCAGCATAAATTAAAGGTCACATTATGAAAAATACACTTCACCATATTTTTCGAATTCTAATATGTGTCCCTATAGCCTGTCTTCAAACCACTCAGTTATGAGAGAAGTCCATCCTCTATGTCTTTTGCCTGCTATACTTTGCTAAGAAAATTTGTGCACAAACAGGCCGTTTAGGGATTTTCCCAATTGTGACATCACAAAGGGCAGTAACCCCTCCCCCATGTGGGTGACACAACCACAGCTTGGTGTTTGTTGCGTCTTCTCATAGTAAAAAATCGGGCATGGAGCGAGAAAGCCCAAGCCTCACAAACCCTTCGAGAGGAAATTGATCAAACACAGGTCACGTGCATTTAAAGCTATAGACTCAAAAACAGCCTGTTCTGAGCAGGGCTAAAATAGAGGATTTTTATAGGCATGATAAAGTACAGGAGTGGATTTTCAACATATTTAAGTGTATCTTTAATGTGTTTTGTATATGGGTAATAATTTGGTGTTTTGGGTTATTGTTTGATATCATTTATTGTTTGATTACATTGGATAGGGGGATAGTAGGTCATATGGGTATGGGTAGGGATGTTAACTCACCTGCTCACTCTTTGTTCTGGTTCGACGATTTTTTGGTGGCAATTCTTTTCTTTTGCTCACTGTAGTTACTTTGATTATGAGTTAATGCACGTTATCATGACTAGATTTTTTTTCACAAATAAAAAGTGTAAGTTATTTCTGTATGCTCAACCTCAGCCTCTCAGCGGCTTCATTGTTCAGGCTAGTCACTGTCAACCAAAACGGCATGAGGTAAACATCATTATACATCGAACAGATCAAGAGGACAAAAAAAGGAAGCAGACAAATCCGTCATTGGATCAATCATGGAGGTAGGCGCTGGCTGTTCAACTTTTAAGGAGACGCTGTCGGAGCGAAGTGCAGCCTGCTAAGCCCACCTGTGGATGTGCAGAAATAAGCTGTATATTAATGGAAGGAATCAGCTGGCATATTGACCGCTGTTTGTACAATGGTAACATATGGTTGACTGAGGTTTGTATCACTCTATGCATCGGTTTTAACAGTGCTGCAAATTGTCTTGGTGCCAAATTGATCACCATGCATTAAAAAGCCTGAATCTCCTTTCTGAATATACGCTTTGTCTCTCTGCTGCAATGTGGAATGATCAGTTGTGTTTGCTGGATGAATTTGTTATCTTATTCTGTGGAAAATGTGGCACAAATTTTGAAAAGGAAGTGTTTTAAATACACTGGAATAAAATCAAAGGAGAGATTAAAGGAGGAAATGAGTTAAATAAATGCTGGCGGTGAAATGGATTGTGGTAAATGGGAAACTAAACTTTCAGCCAAGGGTTTGGCAAATTAAATCAAAAAGCTTCAACATGAATAAATCCCTGTGAAAACAGTTCATACCTGAAATAATAGCACTTGTGAAAAAAAAAGAAAATACCTCATCTGAGCTGTGTCGGTCAACTGTGTGCTGAGGCTACCACGACACATGGTTTGCAAGCATCATTACACATAACAACACATTTAAAGAGTTGACTCTGAGGAATCTCAGTAAAATAACATTTTAAGCAATTGGATCCTGCTGCAACCAATGAAAGAGTGCTTCAATGTCTAACAGGAGCTGGATCTCGGGTATTAAATCAGGATGCATCAATGGTCATTACAAAGGATTTGCAAGATGACATAAACGCGAGTGACAGTGTGTCACATGTGGGACGCAAACCCTCCTGCTACAGGAGGAAGGTCTGCTGTTTCTACAGCTTCTTCAGTACATCTTAGAGCAGAGGCTGACTTGGCAGCTTTAATGGCAAAACAAAAAATTATTAAAGGATGCATAAATTGGAAGAGCAGGAGGAGAGGCTGAGGAGAAAGAAGGAGCAGCTTACATTTGAAGAGGACATTGCAGCACACATTAAACTGCAATCTCGAAGCATCTCAAGTGAGAAAAAATAATTCTCAAAACATTCTGGTAGGATGGATTCCTATGTGAAAAAGTTTAAAAACAAAAATAACAACTGAGAGCTCTCAATGCTGATGCAAGTTCATTTATTCCACTAAAATCAGAAAATCAAAAGGAAATCAAATATGACTACTTGTTTCAATGATCAAGGCCCAAGAAGAAAACTGCACCTAAATTCATTCATTCAGTGGCTGTATCAATTAATAAAGCTTATTATCATGCAAGTCTCAGTGCTACAGATAAAACACAGGCTCCAAAAGGATACAGTTAATGCAGGTTTTGGGTCAGAAAAGGAGAATCAACACAAAATGTGGGAATTATGACACAGCAAAATGAAATAACTACGCTCTTAATACAACAGCAATGCTTCTCATCACTGAGAGATCCCAACCTTTGAGGGCGATCCATTAAATGACCATACATTTATGAAGGCTTTAGAAAATGGTGTGGGGAGAAACACTGAGAGCCACAGTGACAGGCTATTTCTCGGAGCAGTATACTAGGGGCCGCCCTAAGGGGCTGGTTAGAACACATTAAGGCTAAAGCTTTATAAAAGGAACACATCTGAAATGAACTGAAATTTGCTGCTGAATATATGGAAAAGGCTCTTTCATGGCCTCCAATCAAAACAGATGTCAAAGCTCTCCAGGGCTACAGCCTTTTCCTCAGAGCCTGTTCTACTGCTATGGAAGGGGTCATGTATTTGCTTGAGCTACAGTAGACATACCAGCAAATACGCTCACCATTTTAAAGAAGCTGCCTTATAAAGACAGAGATAAGTGAATAACTGTAGCCTTTGAGCTGCAAGAGAGACACAATCACAAAGGAAGATTCAGTGAGAGCCCAAACTTTATTGAAAGACAAGTCAAAATATGAACTGATCCTGTGATTGGAGATCTGCAGGATGGTCCTCAAGAGACAGTGAACAAAGTCATACACACATTAAACCAGAGCCTCTTCCTGGAATGAAAGGAACCAGGTTTGCTACCAATGTGACTCCTGTTGAGAACAAAACTCAACATGGAAGCAAAGGTAAGGAACAAACTCTAACTGCAAGGAGAATGTGTCTTTGCTGTGGAGGAGGATACATGATGAATTTGTGACCCCAGTTGGAGAGGAGAACACACAAGGAGAAACCTTCTTATGGGAAAATAGTTTTGCTTTTGGCTTTTTGTGTATTGGTCACATCAGCAAAGATTGTAGGATACAGATCTCCTGTTCAAAATGTGGTCCCCAACATCCAAATACACTTTACATAACTGGGGTGGCTGGCAATGATTGTATACTTCCAATAGTTACTGTAAAAGTAAAGTCACTGAAGGGAAGCAAAATTATCACAACATATGCCTTCTTCAACCAAGGAAGTACAGCTGTATTTGGTACGGAGGCACCAATGCACAGATTGCTGTCAACCTGGTGAGTCACACTTGGGGAGGAGTGAGTTGCACCATGGTTTTCAAGATTGTGTTGTCTGGACAGACAGTGCACTGTACTGAAATACATCACGAATCAAACTTTAAGTCTCAAAGACTTTGTTGCCAGCAGAGTCTCAGAAATCCTTACTGCTACATAATCCTCCCAATGGAGGTATCAATTGAGAGAATCCATGTAACCCGGCTGATATGGCTTCTAGGGGTTTGAAAGTGAATGCATTTCTCTAAGATGCAACATGGTTGTTAGGTCTGCCTTATCTTCTTCAACCCGAGAGTAAAGCTGGACAAGATGTTTTGCTGTGACTTGCCTGTTAAGTCATTTCTCATCTTGGAATGGTCTCAGGGAATCTGCTGCTTGGATGTTGAGGTCTAAGAAATGGCTCTTGCCTTGAGAGGACAGTTGAGCATGACTCTTGCGAGGTCCGACTTGGAAGTGGAACAGTAAAGACGTTCACTTGAGAAAGATATAGAAAGATATGGACAAGTTTCATTTGACTGAAACTGGATCTTGTGACTTTTGACTTTACTGACCTTTGGCTAAAGAAGAAAGACATCGTATGTGTTATTAACTCTGAAAATGTATTCTTTAATTGTTCCATGTCTCCCATTAATGTTATCATGTGTTATTATTATGTGCAATAACCTTATAATTATGGGCTGATGTGTAGGAGCCATGAAAGAATTCAAGTGTATCTCTAAAGTGTAATTTTTCAGGTCAAGGTATGTGTTGGGTTATATTTTGGTGTTTTGGGTTATTGATTATCATATAATTTATTCTTTGACCATATCGAGAGGGGGATAATAGTTCACATGGTTCACCTGTTCACCTGTTCACCTGTTTGTGTCCATAGTGGAAGAGAGAGGGAGAGCTGCGTTGCCGAATATTTGTTAACAGCAATTGTTTTCGCTCACTGTGATTAATTTGATGATGCGTTAATGCACGTTGAGTGCAAAAATATTTTTTTGAGTTTTTTCGTAAGTGTGTGAAGATATCTACTGATTCAAACATAAAATTCAATTCAATTCAATTCAGTTTATTTTTGTATAGCGTAAAATGACCTTACCATATCATCAGACATAAATGAGACATACTATTTTGAAGTGCTGGCTACTCTGACAACAATCCAGCAGCCAGTATGTCCTCCTTCTAAGTTTCAATTCCGCTGCGGAAATGTTTTTGTTTTGACCAGAGAAGGTAGGCGGTTTGAAGGCACCCCTACACTGCCGTTTTGGAAACATTTCTAGTGCTGACAGAAATTAAAACATGTATTCACGTCCAATATAGTGGTTAGCTTTTTTTAGGATATATATTGGAAAATCACAATAACATATATCTCATCAGTTTGACTATGAAAGGGAACATTTGTTGCAAGGTATTC